ATAAATCTTACATTACACAAATTTAAAAATATTTAGAACAAGTTGTTTACTCACGCTGTAACTGTGCAGCCCTCAGTTGTTTCTTTAACCTCTCCACTTCATTCTTTAAAAATCTGATATGTCTCATCATATTTTCTGGAGAATCTATCTCCATTGATATGTCTCTGGGTGATGGTGGAGCAGATACTGGCTGGGCTTATTTTTCCTGCAAAAATCTGTATGAAAAAAAGTTCAAACTTCACCTTCAATTCTAATGAAAAGATAACCCCTTACATCTCCCAGAAATGCACTGCAAGGATTCTGACAGGTATAGAACACTTATTTAATATTTTGGAAGGATTTATAATGTTTTCTTTTTTAACTCACAGTAAAAAAAGGTAAAATTTATTGTCCAAGCACAGATGGATTTTCTAAAATAGTCACTGACACTCCCAAATATTTCTGCATACAGTTAAGGAAAAACAAATTATGGACTATATATAGTTACCTCAGTTTTATACTCAGACACCACTTACTCCACAAAATCATTCTAAGCAAATGAATTTAATCTCTTACGAGTTTTTACATTTCTGTTCTTAGAGGAAGAACACAGATTGAAGATGAAAGGATGAGTAAAGTATGTCCTTGGTAAAACACAAGGTTTTCTGCATTTCACCATTACCAAAAGAGAAAACTTCATAGATATTTTCAGAATATAGTCAAATAGCTTTTTTTTTTTCCTTTCTTTTTCACATCTCCATACAGAAAGGTAATCCATACAATCACAACCCACTGTTAATTCAGGAGTAATGAGCTTCTCTTAAAATGAAATAAGCATATGGTAGATACTAAGTGTTCTAAATGATGGTCTTTGGAGTTAATATAGAAAGTATTTTTCAGCCCAAAAGCATTAACCTACTCTTCACTAGAAACACGTTAATGGGGCAGATCCAACTCTGCCGTGAAGAGCAGGGACTATGCAAGCACAACTCTTTGCATGGCCAATATTCACACATACCACACAAAGTGTACTAAAGCATGGTCTGGCTCCACCTTAGCTCCTTGTAAGAAGCCACGCAGTCCGAGATAAACTAAACCAGAAATGGTTTGGCTTAAATAAGGTTTTAAATTTCAGATCTGCAAAAAATCCTACCAAAGGCCCATCCCACTAAAGCAACTGTCCTGAAACATGCAGAAGAAAATATAAGGTATTAATCATCTCTTCTCTCCAACTGCCCCCCAAAACAGAGCTCTCGCAATATGGCATTAAAGAGAGGGTTGCTTTAATACATATTTTTAATCTTAGCTTTCCCAGGAATATAAAGTCTTACTGTCTTAACTTGTAGTGAAGAAGCAGCTGGAAGTCTAAATGACATGAGTGCACATCACTGAGAAAGAGCTGATGGGTTTTTTTGAGCAGTTTTAAAAAAAAAAGAGCTTCTCATATAGCAAACAGTGCAATACCACGTTATTTTCTCCAGCCAACACATATAAAGCTGACCCCAAACCAGCTTTAGAAAGAGTAAATCAGCAGTTAAATTCCTTCAAGCTTTCACAGGTCATTTCTTAATACTATTTAGTTTCATCTACTTTAAGGAACCAAGGATGTGGCATCACGCAAACAAGGACCTTTACAACTGCTTTAACTTCCAGCTTTCCATAGATTAAACAACTCTTATGGGACAGAGAGGAACATATTTAATCCAGAACACTATGTATTAAATAGTATCTCTCCCACAGTAACAAACACACTGCAACAAGACAAACCGTTTTTCTGCTTCAAGCTTATCCATCCTCTTCCAGAGACGATTCACTAGTGCTTCTTGTTCTTGTTCCAACGTATTTTCAAGGTCAATCTTCTCACGTCTCAGCTGGAGAAGAAAAACAATCAGTTAAAGTGATGGAAATCTATTTTTTGTGAGGAACTGTATTCAGGAAAGATCATTGCTATGGCAACACCATTTCACAGGATGCTCTACAATAGCAAAGAAAAGGTGAAGAGGAGACAAAAATAAGGCACAACGCTCTGGTCCCAGAGCCAGTGAAAAATCAGGAGATTCAGGAGTTGCACCGTTGTGATCTCCTTAATAAAAATTTTTCTCACAGAACTTGACAACTCTGGCTTGAAACCTGGAAATGCAGTCACTGTTAACATGACAATACTATTCAAAGACATCTCCTCATCCATTCTTGAGTGCCATCACACGTCACATGCAGCGATCACACATCACTGATCAGGCCCAGTCAGCATGGGTTCAGGAAGGGCAGGTCCTGCTTGACTGATCTTATCTCCTTTTATGACGAGGTGACCTGCTTGGTGGACGAGGGGAAGGCTGTGGACGTTGTCTACCTGGACTTTAGTAAGGCCTTTGACAGCGTCTCCCACAGCATCCTCCTGGAGAAGCTGCTGGGCATGGCTTGGACGGGCACACGCTTTGCTGGGTCAAAAACTGGCTGGATGGCCGAGCACAGAGAGCTGTGGTGAATGGAGCTAAATCCAGTTGTGACCAGTCACAAGTGGTGTTCCCCGCTTGTGACTTGCCTTAACAGTTACTATATTAATGCCTAATAGCAGAAACAAATGTATTTCCATCTTAGCAAAGGCTTTATAAAAAAGTAAATGCTTAACTTGACATTATTCCCATTCACTTACTGTGTAGACAAACATTCTTGATTCTGCTATAAGCTAATAAAAGCAGATATAATGCAGAACCATACATGAAGAAATCTATTATTAGTATTTTAGTGCAAATACAATACAAATATTAATAAGAATACACTAGAATACTAAGAGGCACAGCTGATCTTATTCAGTAACACTGGCAGCTTAACTCCAGAAGTTAGCAATAATGAAACATATGGGAACAGATCAATACCATTACAGGTAGATAACAGCACAGACATATTTTACTCAGCCAAGCCTTAGTTAACACTTGCCACTTTCCTGATGGGCAAATAATCCCACATTGCAAAAATAGTGAAAACAGGGTGATTTCCTCATACGTTTTCTGCGTCACTGGGTGAAGTGCTATTACAGCATCTAAATCTGCAAAGGCTCTGTGCTAACCACTAGAGTAATACTGAGATACCCAAACAAAATCTAAACTAAATAATCTAAATCTAATCTAAACAGGTAACAGAGCAAGTTTAGTGAATGTACAACTTTCTTCTTTAAAGTTTAGAGAAATTAGTCAGTGTAAGTAAAACCAGATGTATACCGATGAGTAACAGGGAACGCATTTAGGAAAAGAAGCACTGTTTAATAAATCTTTCCGTGTCTGAGTTTCCAGATGTACATTAACAGCTGAGGGAACTTACACTTCAATAAAAGAGAAGCCAGGAGAACGTGCTTCTGCCTCACACAAGGGATGAGATTTTGGATGCTGACCGACACCTTGTTCCTCACACCAGAAGGCAAAGGGCTCAGTCCCAGGAGACACGGGGCACTCTGCCTTAGAGCACTACTCATTACCCAGTCTGGCCAATGCTTGGGGCTGAGAGCGTTCAGAGGGAAGAAAGTACAGAAAATGTTCTGGGGATCTGCACATCATGCTTCTACATTACCAACATGCAGATCTTCACCATACTGCATAGCTATTTATATAAACATAGGATGAGGAAGGTTCAACTGCAGATTGCTGCTTCTGCAGCAATTGCTTTTGCATCATCGCTTCAGTGCAGCATGGTTTAGATCCACCTGCTCTGACGCAAGTCTTTTTACAACTATGTTATCAGTCTAGCACCAAACAAACCCAGAAAAACAAACTGGTGAAAATAAATCTATTTCATTTCATGGGAAGGAATTAGGAAGAAGAGTACACTGGAATTTGAAGACAGAATAAATTATTTATAGCCCTGGATGTGAAAAATCCAAGACTACATCTAGTATTATAGCAACCATTACCAAGGCAGTGGAGTCCATTAATTAGAAATCTAATTAAGTAGGTGAGCATGCACAACAGCAAAGTCAAATCATCAGCAGCAATATACAAATGAGCCTTGTGTTGTGCCCTGAAGGCTGACAGACATGCTCTGATGAAACACTAAAGAAACCGTGTTGTGAAACAGAGATTTAAGACCACATTTCCAGCAACATGAAAACACACTGGAAATAAGTATCTTCCCTTCCTCATCTTGAGTGTTGTCCCAGTTCCTCCCAGTGTCAGGACATTAAAGCACGCCTTGAACTGAACCTATAGGAGAAGTGACTGCAGCATCCTGACCAGAGCTGTGAATTCAGAGAACAGGTATATTTGTTTTGTACTAGGTAGCCTCAGGTGCACTTTAAAATGCAGTCTAATCAATGAATGTTAGGAACATGATAATGTACTGAACTAAAATAAGCAGGATGGGATTATATCTCAAGACCAAACCAGCAGCACTGTCAATAATGGCATCATTCTATATGAGTTCAAAGTTACATTCCCAGTCAAACATCATTTAATTGTTACCATCACAACAGGGAAACGAGGAAGTACTGTGTGCTTTTTTGGACCTTAGTCTTCCCTTCAGAGAAAGAAAAAAATCCCTTTTAAACTTCCTCACCATCCAATTGTGATTCTTCTCATCTTTCTCTCTTTCCTTCATGCATACACTTGCTTTACTTCAAATGCAGCTAAAACACCCACTGTCTGTGTAATTCTGGATTACCGCCTCTTCAGTCTTCTTGCCAACTTACTAACAAGCAAAACTGCTCCCTCCTGAAATGGAGACCTTCCAGATCAGTGACAGTTGAATATGGTATCTGCCTAAGCCCACTCTCCCAAATTTCGCTTCTCTGATTCTCAGCTGCCCCACCCCCTTTGTAGCTCTTAGTCTTTGCTGCTCTCCAAGACTATCCTTCCAGAAGACTTTACACATTTCATGTTCCTCTCCTTTCAAAGCAGCAGACACAGGAGATGATTATTAGCAGTTCTTATTTCTCATCTCCTAACTGCATCAATTCTACTTTCTCACTGTACTGTATGAGATAGAAAAGCAATTAAAAAGAGTAACAGCAAGACTACATAAACTTGGCCTCTGTAGGGCAAAACTGACAGCTATTTATTTCCTATCAAACCACTGAACTATAACACAGAACATTATTGCTCATTTTAACTGAGGCATTCAGTTAATGAAATAATCACATGCTGCAAATTTCTTCATCATCAGCCTTCAGAGAAGAATGTTCTGCCACCTCAAGCTGACTTAAGAAAATTAAGTCAAGTCACATTTGAACCTTAAGATCCAACTTAATTTCTTCTTTAGGAACGACATTCTGTGCAACCATCACTGCTACAAACTGGCTACCTACCAATGCTCTGTGGCATAAGCAGTTCAGGTAAGAGAAAGCAAAGGAGGGAGGACACAAAGCATAGATAATTCATGTTTCGTATTTTAAAAACAGTAGTTCAGTGAACATATGTTGTAAAGATCTGCTCACTGATTACAACAGACCTAATAATGCAGCCTTAGATTATGTTCAAAGTATTGCTGAAGTACTCCTTCCAAGCCCTGTTCAAGAGGTCTCCCAAAGGTTATACTGAAGTGCTGTGGCAATCTCTCTTCCTTAATTCCCTATGTGTACAATAAAAGCAACATTGCTCTGCTCACAACTTTTGGTTGCTTCTTGCTAGGTACAGCCAATTTTAACATCTTCATAAGCAAAGTAAGTTTTCAAGGCCAGGCATCTGAGAGAAAACACCTCTGAGCATCCATACTTTTGTAACAATCTATTGCTGATATTCAAATGTAACAACAAGCTTCAAATTTTAAGATTTCGCAAGTCTTCCTGCCCAGAGCAATGACACAAAAATAAATACCATGAGGATTTCAGCTGTGGCTCATGCTAACATTTCGAAGACTAAAACAGCTGAACATGTGAACTTACTTCGCATTCTGATTAAGTGGCCGCCACCACCACCTTGTGGCTAAGAGAGTTATTTCAGTCTCATGCCGATTTCCGTGCTTGTTAAGGATTTGCTGGCAACTACATCCTCCTACCATTCTATTTTTCGATTTTTTTCCATAGATCTCTCCATAGAGAACATTACCGTAAGAATCAAGAAAGCCCTTTTCATCATGAAGATGGCCACAATGTCAACATATAGAAGAGTCATAAAACCAGCAGAAATTCAGATTACCAGCAACAAAAAAAGTTCCACATCTGATGAGAAGAACAAGAAAAGTCCGCAGAAATAATGTACTGTACAACCAAATGAATAGACTTCCACAAGCCAGAAAAGCTGAAGTTCTTTAACAAGCCTGTATGTTTCATTAGTCTGCCTTTTAAGTCAAAAGGACTCCTACTACCACCACTGGGATGCTTTGATGCACATACTTAAAATTAGACATAAAAGCAGTCCCAACGTCTACACTTTTGGTAGAAGCATGACCAAAACAAGTGGTGTTTTATCTCTGCAATCTTCATAACCATCCAGGGAGAAAGAGAGTCGGATGTGGTTGAATCTCAACTCTTTGTCACAGTTCGAGCCCTGTGATATCCAAGCTGCCACAAAAAGATGACCTAGAGCACAGCCAGAACACGTGCATGCTGGCTACTGGTGTGCTCAGCCGCTATTAGAAGTGACAGCCGCTCTCACCAGCAGCACAAAAGTGGAAGTTGACGAACAACAAGTAGTATTACTCATAAAAACGTTGCATTTGCAAAATTCATAGCTGTCCAGTAGATAAGATTCTCATAATAAATTGTTAATGATTTATTGCTTTAACAGTCAAATTGTACTTTCTATGTTCTTGATATTGCCCAGTTTCTTACATACTTTAAAAATTGAGTCAAAACCAATACAAAACAAGTTGGTTGGTTTTTTTTTCAGAATCCCTTTCCTCACAGTCATGTAATGGTAAAAGTAAGAAGTTACCTGCTCCAGGGTAAGCTGCTTCGAAATGGTATCATTTTCCAGTTTTTTAATCTTCTTCATCAATTTGTTCACTTGAAATTCCTGTTCCTGCTCTAAATGCTGCTCCAGTTCAGCTTTCTCATGCTGCAGCTAAAAATGTAGGAGACATGGAAGTGTATTAAACACACACAAAAACGTATGAAATGTTATGCAATCTTTATACACTTATTTACATGTTTATTCTTACTGCATGTTAAATTATCTACTGGTAATTCTTCACAAAAGACTTCAAAATGCACAACCCACCCAACAACCCTTCAAAAAGAAAAATTTTAAACTGTGATTCATTTACAAAGCAGATGTAAGTAAACTACATTTCCAAATATTTAATAAAGTCAAATCAAAATAGATACATTCTACAGAGCATATAAAATAATTACAGACATTTCAAAGCCAAAAATCTATCACAGTGTTCACAAAAGCATTAATTTTAATCTAAATGCATCATCTCAAGAGCACCCAATGCATAAAATGCGGGTCTTTGCACTTCCTTCTCCCAGGCAGCTGAAAGCTTAAAATCGTGACTGAAGCCGTACTGCTGAAACTGCTGTGATGGGAATTGCAACAAGATATTAAAAAAAATAAAATCCTGTTCCTGTGCTATCAAGAATGAAAAGGCTTTGATGACATTGAAACACTGGTTATTTCAAATCAATGTTACACATTTTCTTAACACTCAAGGGAAATTGTTCAGTTAATATTTCCAATTTAAAAAAAGCCTTTACTGTTAAAGCTCCCAAGCAGATGGAAACACCACCACCCTCCCCGCCTCCTCCCCCCCCATTTTAACCTAAATTATGGCTTGGAGTAGAGTCACTTTCAACATTAAAGTCAAAATCATCACGGAATCCCTCTGAGACAGGGATTTAAGTCTTCTTGTGAATAAAACAGCGTGACTGTCACGGACAGTGAAAACACGTGAATCTGACTTAGCTTTTAGCTCATGTGGAGCTTCCGAATGTAACCAAGTTGCTTTAAATGGTTTTCAATGCTCAGTTTCAATATGTTTAATAAGATTATCAGCAATCTCTCACATCATTGAACGCTGACTGGATTTCATCAATGCCTTTATTTTGTTGTTATCAAGTTCAATGTGCTTTCCTGAGCATGTTGAATCTTTAATACCAAAATCTCCAGGCTGAAATTCAGCAAACCAATTCTGACACTGCCATAGCTCTAAGGCACCTTCACCACACACATCACATAGATTTTTATGAGCCTGCACAGCATTTTTTCCTTTTTGGAAGTAAACCAGCAAAATACGATGAAAATGTTCCTTTTGATTTTCCATTCTGAAATCAATGCCGAAGAAACAATTGTTAATGATGTCGTGCACGTTTTTTTTTCTAAAACAAGCCTGAACTGTCAGCTGTCAAGTTACACCATGAATTTGCAGTTTAAAGTGAAGTCCGTTACATTTCAAGACACGTACGTCCATCGAGTAAAAAACAAACACAATTACATTTTGGCCAACCCAGTAAAATTGCTAGTTCATTAATTCAGCTCCTTTTGCTGCTATTTAGAAACAAAATGGTCTGCAAAGGGCAAGTTCAGAGCAGAAAGGTTTGTGTGCAGAGAGCAACTACTTGGGAATATACACAGGGGAGAAGTTTGCAGTTTAACTGTGCTTTCAGGGCTTAGCAATTTCGATACTATATTTTTCACAAATTAAAATAAAAACCAGGATAGTATTTAAAAAATAAATGAGATTTATTCCTTTCACTTACTAAATTACAGCATATTTTCCAAAACCTCTGACACTCATGGAAATTCTCATGCACTTGAGGAAGCCACCTAGGCTTCAACATGGCAATCACTGAGACCACCACGGCAGCTCTTTAACAACATTTCCTAAGGATTTGATCAACTGTCTAGTTTGAAATAAAGCCATTTCACTTCTTGTGAGAGAATATGCGTGGCTGCTAGGTGAGATTTTCATTAGAAACATTTATATTTGCACTTCTAAATCAAAATACTGTTTGTGATGTTTGATAATCAAAAATCTGAAGTTTCTTACTTCAGTATTGGAATTAAGCTTGTTGGGAAAAAAAAGGTTTAATAAATAAGAGTAAATAATGTCCTTTTCAACTCTATAAGCCCCTCTCCTTTCCTTCCGCACCCCTATGCGGCAGCTACAGCTTAAGACTGAAGACAGCCAACGAGCCCAAGGAGTTCTCCTCCCCCTCTACTCTGCCCTGGTGAGACCGCATCTGGAATATTGCATCCAGTTCTGGGCCCCTCAGTTCAAGAAGGACAGGGAACTGCTGGAGAGAGTCCAGCGTAGGGCTACAAAGATGATCAAGGGAGTGGAGCATCTCCCTTATGAGGAGCAGCTGAGGGAGCTGGGGCTCTTTAGTTTGCAGAAGAGGAGACTGAGGGGAGACCTCATTCATGTTAATAAATATTTAAAGGGTGAGTGTCACGAGGATGGAGCCAGGCTCTTCTCGGTGACAAACAATGATAAGACAAGGGGTAACGGACACAAACTGGAACACAGGAGGTTCCACTTAAATTTGAGAAGAAACTTCTTTTCAGTGAGGGTGACAGAGCCCTGGCCCAGGCTGCCCAGAGAGGTTGTGGAGTCTCCTTCTCTGCAGACATTCAAAACCCGCCTGGACGCCTTCCTGTGTAACCTCATCTGGGTGTTCCTGCTCCGGCAGGGGGATTGGACCGGGTGATCTTTTGAGGTCCCTTCCAATCCCTAACGTTCTGTGATTCTGTGTGAGTTCACAGCGTGCGGATTACCACCTCGCTCACGGTACTTGCTGCACGTTCCTCAATCATTTTGCTTCATTAAAAAAATCTAGATGCCTTTTTTTGTCACTTATCTAAAAATTGAGACCAAAGCCAGTCGCTGTAATCAGCTTATATTTAGTTGGCAAATTAAACTGCGAGAAAATGCACATATAGCCAGAATCTCTTCTTCCTCAGCCCAAAGCCAGACGCTGCTAACCGAACACACACGGTTGGGCACTGCTGGCACTTGCAGGCAGTCCAGAGTCGTAAGAAGGCAGCTCAAACCAACTTAACAACAAATAGTTTCTTGTTCTTGTGCACTGCATGCAAGTGCAGCTGCCACATTATTTAAAACAAACTGAGCTGCAATATGATAATCTTGCTTGTGGAATCATTCCTTTTAAAGCTTGCTGGAATTTCCACCACACAGGTGAGGGATGATGAGGCTTACTCCTTAGATCTGTGGCTGAAGGCAGGAGAGATCTATTCCAGAAATATCTTCTGTTCTGATTTTAACATAAATATACCATAAGGAAAAGTGACTGGGAATAAAAAGAAACCCACAAACACTTCCTCCTTGAGTGGATCAACGGGATTATAACATGAAAGCCCTCTCAGACATTCTGATGTACCTACTTTACTGTACTACTCTCCTTCACCCTTTCAGCTTTGTTATTCAAAGTCAGAGAAAAATACTAATAACACACCCCAGAATACACACTAACGGTGTCTGTCACTCAAAATTGGGGAAAATCCTTCCTTCCTTTTAGTGGCTTCGATTGCAAAAACAAACCAAAACCAAGAAAAACCAGTTACCCTAATGCAACCCTAACGCTGAAAAAGAGAATTGCTAACAATTAGAAAATATCCACTGGTACAACACTGGTGGATAGTGTTTCTTTTACTCAGTAACGTGAGTATTTTCAAACTGGTTTTAATGATATGCAATTATAGTAGCAACTGTTTACAGATACACCTACAGCTGTCAGACAAAGAAGAGGAAAATATGTGTAAGAAAGTGTGACCTTGATGACAATGTCTTAGAGACCTTGAGTTGCTTATGAAAACTGCGGGAGAGATACTGGGGGCATTTTCAGCTACGTAAGATCAGAGACGGGTTTAGTCCAAGAGAGACAGCTAATACTTCAAAGGGAGAACAAGGCTATCAAATACAAAGCTTAGCAGCAGACAGGGCGCATGTGTTAGTTCAGGCAAGTCCTACACAACTAGAGTTATAGCCTTCTCTCTCTACAGAAATGTTTCCTGATACAATGTAGGACCACATTTACCTTACTGTACTGGCTTATTCTGAGACAGCAGAAGGCGTTTTTATGAAATAATGAAGCTAATGGCTGAAGCTACTCCTTAAAGAAAACAACCCTAATTTATCCCTCACACTATGACCTTGTACATTCTACTGAGCTGTCTATTTTTAGTACTCCAACCCTCAAAAGTTGTCCACTTTCTCCTCTGCTGCATCCTGAGAGTCCTATTTATTAACAAATTTGTATCAGCAGTTTGCCTCCTCTTAATGGCCAGATGTTCATCAAATAAATGATAGAGAAGCTGACTCTGATTATTCCGCACAATCACATTTGCATCCTTAAGCTGATGCATCGTATTTTGGAGAGCAGGAAGAGTAATAGCTTATGTTTACAGACTTACACTTTTTGAAAGAACTGTCAAGAATCAGATTTGCCTGAGAAACAGTTCTGTATAGCCTCCCTGACTACACATTATGCTATTATCTTGGTAAGTTGTAACATTTTAACTTCAAGGACAGATACTTAGACCAATTTGCACTTCCAAAAATATAAGGGTATTGAGAAAAATCTGTATTCGATTTTGAAAAGGACTGTTGCACAATTTAAAGAGTGACTTTGTAAGTTCAAATATTATTAAAAATTAATTACTCTTTTGAGCAGCCTTGTTTTGCACAAGATAAATTGTTAATGTTTACTATTTTAAATTTCACAACAGTAACTTAACAAGTCCATACCCACAGCTGCAAGAACAGATCCTGCATCAGAACACTTCTGGTGATACTCTGCAAAATATTACTACTACTCTATAATGACTAGGGATTGAGGACTCTATAAAAATATTCTTCCAAGCTTTCCAGAGACTGGGTCAAGTAGGCAAAAAAACAATTAAAGTACACAGGAAAATATAATGCATAGATCTAAGGCTTATAGGAACTTTATCAGGAATGTATGTGATTAAAAGCTTTTGTTTACTCCAAAACCTCTGCTGAAATGCATGTGCTCCTTCCTCTCTGCAGCACTCAGCCTAGAAAATGAAAAATTATGCTAAACCAAGGAAATTTAACTAGTGAAAGTGTACACTTAACTATTTGGCTTGTAGAGGCAGTTAAAGTTAATGCCACACAGTTATAAATAGGTATTACCAAGCAATGGTATGGCATCATAAAGCCTGGCAACAGGAAGACATCATTACTCCAGTGAAAACACCTTCTTTTATGCACTCTATGTTTACAGTCAGCCTGGCATATCACAAAATGTTTCAAAATCAGTATCTTACAATATTGAACACCTGATGTAACCCTGTGTTTTCTAATAGTAATGCACACCATGCTGAACTGGGAAATTCTTGTTAGGCTGTTAGCGAGGAGCGCTGCAGCTCGTGCTCCGGCAGACAGCTTTCACGTTTTAAACGTTTTAACATTCTGGGAGCTCATTCCAGATGCCACTGAACGTGATGCATAAGCCCCTGTAATTGTGACAAACAAAGGTTTGACAAAGCAAAAAACACACAGGCACTACGAAAAAAAGCCCTCTGCTAGGTGGCTTTCAACTGAATAATACGGCAGTAATTTTGACACAGCCAGAGACTAGTAAATACTTGACAAAATAAGCAACTACAAATCATAGGTAATTTACCAGAAGGTCCCCCCTCCCCCTGTTCCAAAAGGCAATGTCTTTGACAAAATAGATTCAGATGCTTTTTTGTTGTTGTTCCTTTAGTCATACAAAAAGCAAGAAGCCATTTGATGCATCAGTTCTGACAGCATGAAGTTTGAAAGTCTAGTTCCAGGTCAGGCAAACAAACAAACAAACAAACAGAGATTAAGAGTTTAACCCCAAATATATCAAAGAACAGAGGAGAAACTACTTACTGCCACACTTCCACTGAGATTGCTGTATTTCTGGTCAAGTCACCCAAAGTCTGCATCTAATTCAGCCTGAATTCTCCTCACCGCAAACATACCAGAAACAGAAGTGGAGCCCTGTAACTGCCTCACCAGTCCTGCATTCCTCAATAAAAACAGAGTTGCTACATTCTAGCAGGTACAGGTAAGTACTGACACTTGCAAATCTCAGGAAATTCAGAAAAGTCAATTGCAATTATCTTAACTTTCTGAAAGGCGTTAGTCAGGAATTCAGCACTACACCTGTGTAATGGGAAGAATATTCCAAACCAGAAAAGATGTTGTAATAAAACCTGAGTTGACCATGTGATGTGTGCTAATAATGCCCTTTTCCACAGAACGAGTCTATTTCTACTATCAGGAGTTTTTCTTCTCAGATTTTTTAACTGGCAGTCTACACTGGTATAATTTCCAGGATTCAGAATTGAAGAATCAAAACTTCCAAACAACAGATAAGCTTTCATAAAACAAAAATCAATGTCAATATTATTTTAAGCTCTTTGCTACTTAAGAAAATTGCCTATAACTCGCCAATATTTTAATATCAACTTACTAAATCCATGATCACTATAGAGATAGAAAATTATTTTCATGGAAACACACTGTAACATTCAGATGTTTCCCAATTCTACAGGTAAGCTTTTTAAGGGAAGGGACCATTTCCTTCTTATACTTTATGAGTTGCTGAGCATGTTATTAGTGTTTAGGAGAATACAGTAATACAGATTTTTTGCATTTCACAGCAAGTTTATCCCATCAAAGACATAATCAAACTGTGAAGTGAAACATTCACCATACATACAAACAGAGCAATAGGTTTAATGTTAAACTGTCTGCTTTAGAACAAACAAGTCCTCCACTTCTACTGCAAGTCTTGAGCCACTGTAAAAGTACGACAAGGCATCAGGATGTATGGAATACAAAACCTGACGATCAGGCAGATTCCTCTGGCACAGTTTAAAATACACTTTGCACTAGAGCTCTAATATATCCCTTATCTTCTCCCCTGTGCACTGCAGTTAATAGGTGAACCTGTAAGCAAGATACTCCACGCCACCCACCCTTCACAGGCACAACCGCTACCAACATCAACAGGATGTTGACAGCTATTCACTTTTTCAAGCTGGGTTAATACTTAAATAGAGGACAAACTGCTGATTTACTTCCAAAAACTGCTGCCTAATGATGCTGAGATAAATTACACAGTTTTAGGACTAAGAATTTGGGTGCACTTAAGAATTGCCACCTATTAAAATCTTCTGGTTGTCATGACCACATTTATAAAACACTGAATGAGGCTTACATGAAACAAAGTGTAAGGCTGTAGGCTGAAATATTGTTTAATACAAGCAGATCACGGTCAGAATTTCACTTCCATTTTACCTCCAGTAATGGCCATGCAGTTACTTTCTTTCAGCAGAAACTTGCAGCTTGCCTACCGACAGCTGGATAATATTTACAGGGTGATGATGAATCCAAGAATGAGGATTTTTCTCCAAATGCTGTTCAAAAGGCGAGGATAACTTCACCAGCTCTGTGCCTACCTGCATTCTGTTTCAGATACATTTGCTTTTCTGAATATTTCCCTCACTAGCAAGAATGAAGTTACGCCTTTTAAGGGTTTCCAGTGGATAAACAGCATAATGCCCTTGCATTATTTCATACAGTACAATGAGGCATCCCTTTGGCCATTTTGAGAACAGCAGACTGTTACCTTTTTCCTTATATTGGGGCAAATCAAATGATATTTTCTGAAAGTCCACAGCAAGAAAAAATCAGTTGTAGTTTTAGGTTGACAAACAGCTTATATGTCTTTGTAATGTGTGAACCTATTTTTGCATAATATTAGCCATTTAAGAACTGTTTAAGCAATCCCAGTTGAATTCTAGGAAAAAGGCTAAGCATATTTTGAGCAACTACCAGACACAGCAATTCAGTTGCTGCAGAACTTGGGCAGTATAAATTTGTGTGCAAGGTCATTATTTGAGTTCAAAACCCTGCAGCCAAATCAAGTGTAATTTATTCTTTTACTTTTAAAATAAGTTTTACTTTGCTCTACATAATGTATAGTACAGCCCCAGTACTGGTTCTGTAACCGATTTCTACACAGCCCTTTTGATTAAAAAACATTGCTCAACATTTCTCCCTTCACTGGAAAAGACTTTTGTGGAAAGTTATTTCTATAGTGATAGCTACATCTTACTTCAATTAGAAAAGAGATCTTGAGATCCCTATTTTACTGCCATCTGCTACTCTATTTTTCATAAAAATGTATGACTTTGAAAGCAAACGTACTTCTTATTCAGAAACATTCTAGTCAGTTCTCAAGAATCGCAGAGGAAGCAGTAATGCCAGCTCAAGGATATTTTATCTTGATACTTAACTTACTGTGTGATAATAGGCATCAAACAGATAAAGTCATAGAAGTCCCAGTTTTCAGCTACAAAAGCGTCAGATGGGATTAACTCTTAATATCATTTCCGAACAGTGTACTTCCTAACTGCAGGGTTAAACATGCCTTAAGTCTCCAGCTACAGAACTTATTAAATGTTTACAACACACAATTAGGTTCTTTAAAATCGACTAGTTTTTCATGACAAGGTTTCTAAGTAATGGCATGAAAAAAGCCATGGTGAACCACAACAAACATCTATCTAACTTAGTATCCTGTCTCCTACAGAGGCCAAAAGCAAGCATTCAGGCAAGTCTGTAAGAAAAGGGCAAGCATATACAACACTTCCAAAAAATACTTACCCACTTTCCAAAAATTAGCAAATTGGGTAATGAAAAGAAGTTTCTCTGCAATAAATTGTCCCAGCATCTTCAACTTAATACTTATAGCACCCAACTGATGTGTTTGAATTCAAGAGAAGCAACTGTTTTGTTAAAAGTATGGATAAACTTACAGATTGTCTCCTTCAAGCATCACTGCACATTCTTGTATATAAAGTTTAATATTTCTAGACTCCTGTTAAATATCAAATACTCCAGAAAAGAAGCATCTGTTTCACTAACAATTAATCTAATCAGTAACTCTTCCGTAAGACAGTTAACATTTACTTGAAGCTACATCCATTTCTTTGCATCTCTATACAAACTTCAAGGTTCTCAACACCATAAGTTTGCAGATGCAAACTTTAAAGCAACATACAAAAACCGCTTACTCACAGCACTTCTTGTACTTTGCTTGTATCAAGTGTCAGCCTTACAACAGCTACAACCTGACCACATTCCTCTGACTTCAGTCATCAGTTGGTCCTGAGGCTCTTGGGAGAAACATCAGTAAAGGCACCAATTACCTGCATCAGTTTTCTTGAGAGCTCATTAGTGAGAAATTCCTCTTCCTTTTCATAGTTTACTGCAAGAGTTTCTTTTTCTTTCTGTAGAGCTTGAATCTTCTTAAATAGAGTATTACTGATGAATTCCTCCTCCTGCTCTGCCCTTGCTTGCTGTAAAGTAAAGACATAGTTTTAAGGAAAAAAGAGAGCAAGTTTCCACATTAAAAGTTGCAATTATTCCATTACCCTTTACATGGATGGATCTAAGTGCAATTACCATCCCCTTTTCTAACATTATAGCACCCTTCTTCCTTTTTTGTTCCACATTTTTCAACTTGGAAAACTACACTGGTGCTTTTAAGTGGCCTCCCTCCAACCAAATGCGCCAACTCCCCAACCTTTTAAAGTTTATAAGAGCATTGCTGATTCACAGATACCTACTTTTGCCTACTCTATTCCTAAAACCAAACTTGTTTCTAAATATTCTCCATTACGAGCTGATACACAGCTACGTTCAGCACCGTGCCTTCTTTCTAAGTCCCTCAGACTGCAGCCCTGCTTTCTAGGAGTCAAGTAATGCATTTATTCTTTCACCCAGATATGCCTTGCTTCTGAGCCGCAGGCAGCACCGCTCATCTCATGAGGATTTCTGCCCAACCACCAGCCTAGGAAAATACATTACTTCTCAGAACTGTTACTTCACTACATACAACATGAACTTCAAAAAATGCCATGCAGTAGCTTTACTCTGAGGATTTCCAAATTTCACAAAAGGAGAGCTACTCTGGACATCTTCCCCATGAAGAACCACTAGAGAAGACAATTTCCATTCCAGCTCTCTTCTAGCACCTAGGCACTGCTCCACAGAAAGCCAGCCTGCGAGCTCGCTCCCTGGCATACCTTACAGGTCAGATGTTTATATGTTCTTACTAGAAACTCGCTAAATGGAACACAGAACTTCTCTTTTGGAAGTTTGCCCTAATAAAACCATGAAGGGTATTTCATATGGGCAAATGAAAGATCACAGCTACAAACTGACAGAACCAGCTTCTAATTCCACAGTCCAGAGAGCTCAGATGACAGAAATACAGAATTCCCAAACCACCACCTTTAACAAATGAGGCAACGTAGCATTGAGAAGTGTCTGCATCCCCTGAAATAAAATCCACATCACTTGAACTGCAGATTTGTTATTTGCCCTATTCTAACTAAATTATGCCTGCTTACAGATCACAATATGTCAAGATTCAAGTTTATTGCCATAAAATTTGATAGAGGAAAATTTAAGAATTGAAACAGAAGCATAACCAGAGTTTTACTGAAAGCTTAGCTTCCACAACCTTCTGCCCAAAATGTGCCAAAATAACCATCTCTTTATGGATATGGTATGCTTGGAAATTACCAAAAGATTTTGTTATGTCAGTGGTCTTTTAACTGGAAAGATATATACCCTAGTAGTCAAAAAGACAATTACTGAAAGAGAGACATCATCCATACCTACAAGAAAAGTTACTTATAGAAAGAAAAAAAAGAAAAAAAAAAAAGAAAGAAAGATCTGGCACAGTTTATTAGCTTAGGAGCTTGGGTCCTGCACAGAACCTCCCCTCAAATGTTTGTGCATCTCGGGGACTGAGAACCACTGCTCCAGCACGTTCAGCACTGGTATTATGACTTGTCACATCAAGACAACGTAGGTTTGTCCAACAGCTCTGAATAAACACTAAATTGTCAGCTCACATCTCAGAGGATTAAAACTCAAGGAATCTAACTAATCTCAATAACATCATCCATCACTTTCTAAATGTGGCTTTACTTAGAGCTACTAACAATCTTACATCTTCATTTTGGAACAGAATGAACAAGTCAAACTGCAAGGGCTCATTATCCTCAAAACGTTGAAATTCATCCATGCTGTTCCAAAGTCAATTTTTCCTTTGCCTTCACTACACACCATTTCTACCCATGTCTGCCTTTCAATGGTTCAGACAACAGAAAACAGTAGCACAGACCAATCTCACCTAAAATTAAATCAGAAAGCACTTGGTTCCAAAAAAAAGAAAAGAATCGAGGTGTTTCCACTTTGATTTCTGTTTATTTCTGACTTGCACAGATTTGTTCTGCTCATGCTTTGCACCAATCATAAGCTCTAAAATCACATCATTGCAGCGCCGAGTCTGCACGACAATTGGTGGGCAGATCCTGGTATTAAATGAATGTTGGGTGCTGAGGCCAACCTGAGCACGGGCTGCCAAGATCCCAGCCCACTCCCAGGCAAACAGCAATGTCCCTCCTTTGTGCTCGCACAGGTGCTCATGCAGCCAGGCAGCAAGAGACCCGAAAGCTAATCCTTTCCCTTCCTCCTCCCATTCTTTCCTGGACCTGCTTCCTAAACTGGCACATCACACAGGCAGAGTGCTGGCATGCGGAAACAAAGAATGAACAGCCACAATTTAGACCTGTTCAAACTGCTCTGCAACAACCCCCTCTGCCTACACCACGCAGGACACCAGCTTGCATTCAGCTGGCTCAAAGGAAAAGCTGAGTGTGATTACATCTGCCTCCGCTGCATGAAGAATATATTTCTTCACTGCACAAACAACAGGAAGCCTATAAATCTACGCATGAACTACAAGTTCCAGATATCTATACATTATATTTAATACAATGAATGTCCACTTAAGTTATCCAAGGTTCACCAGCTTAAACACAAACTTTTTAGTCAAAAAACATCATACAGTTGTTAATACTGGGTTACAAACGCATGTGACACATCACCAATTTTCTTCTAAATCCACATCCTTTCATTCTGAAACTTTCTCTTCACCTTGTTATTCATTACTTGGAGATATTCCAATTATCTTAAGCAATAAAATCATTCATTTTTATCTTAATATTGCCAAAATCTTGAAATTTGTTACTCACTTGGCCCATAATCAAACTGACATGGTAACACAGTCATAAAAAAATCAAGTTTAATACTATTTCCTGAACAGACTCTGTCACTGCAATGTTTTTCTGGACGCGCGTACACTGTGTTTCCATATGGATAATCTTCCTCTTTATTCACTATCTGCACTTGAAAAAAGGCTCCGATATGATCAGAAAAGGGAAAAAAAAAGAGAAAAGGAGCACGGAAATCAGAGACAGTAGGTCTTCTATCAGCATACAGAGTTCCTGGTTTTTCTCTATTATCCATATCACTTTAAACATCCAACAACACTAACAGCAATGTTCTCTGCTCTGTGTACCGTATTACAAAATAAATGAGTGCACTGAGTGACACAAAATTAAAACACCTGATCAGTCAATCAGCTTCCAGGTCTCTGGAAACCTGAAACAAGCCACCTATTTCCACTACAGATTTTTTGCATAACCACAGTCACATCCACCTGTCTCCTGTGTCTCTAAACTCCAGGTATAGCTAACTCAAAGTATTTCATGGATGCATCCACCAAGGAAAACCTGTAATTATTGAGGTTAAAAATGGCAAAGACTAGCATGTTACTTTGCAAGAAATCCAGGAGGAGGGAGGAAAAAAGAGGAGGGGGGGAAAAAGCACCTCATGCACATCGCACACACAAAACCTCTTACATTTTTTGGGAAGAAAATTCTATTATTTCTATCTCAGTAGCACGTGATATCCTGACCACTAGTACAACTGATGTGTGAAGTGTTGTAAAAACCTGTCCTTGTGAGCTTACAATCCAATGGGCTAATTTTAAAAGAACTGAAAAACATATTTCTCTTAAACTTTATACTGCAACTGAATATATTAGGAAGCGAATCTCATTAGAATTTATTCTTCCACATGCCGCATATACTAGCATAAACTGTGAAACCTTTAGTGTTAAAATCTTTTTCAAAAATCTCAGTTCTTCTTCCTGCAAATATACCTTTAGCAGACCAAGTTCACACTGCTAGATTTCCCTCCGCCCTCTTGCTTCTAGTGCATACAGCAGCTTCTGCTTACAGCAGGATGCTCTCTTCCTGTATCACTGGACCATACCCCAGTCACTGCTCTAGTGGCACTATTTTATGAAGCGGCAACATTCAGTTTTTCAGATGAGGCATCAGCTTGAACACAGTCAAGTGAAAAATAAAATTTAAAACAATCACAGCTTTTTACACTCCCTTCTCTTCCTGGTTGATTCTTCTAAAAGCTTCACAAAACATCCCGATACCACACAGTAAGTAAGCAGGATCAACAATCACAAGTAATACCTACTCCCTAGTCAATACCAGCACAACGTTACAACTGACCTGACATGAACAAGTTCTTCCATTTCAGTTTCAGCTCTCACTTCAGACACAATTTAAGTAACAAACGTTTCACAAACTGCTCCAGTCATCTACACTGGACCACCTGAAAGCCAGACACCAGGCATGGCTGCTTTGCATGCTGACAAAGCATCATCTGTCTCCAGTAGCACCTGGAGTAGAGGTGACACGAGATTTCAGGGGATCTTGTTGGAGACAGCCCACCAAGCATCGTTTTGATCAAATCCACTCTTGAAGGTCTCTCATCTTTAACACAAGTGCCACCGTGACCTCCTTACCATTCATCTATCTTTTTATGATGTAATTTCTGTTGACAGGACCCTATGGACAATGTGCGCCTGCAGATGGAGCTGAAGAGCAGTTTAATCTGGCTGCTGTACACAAGAAACTCAATCTTTGCTACTGAATATAGACTGAAAGCTTGGGGCAGCTTCGGGAAGAGATGATCTCAGTTGCTGCACATGTTACACTGAACTAAAGCTGTCACTTCAGAAAGCAGCCCTTCCCAAAGTCCTACTAAAAAATACCATGAAATAAAAAGGGCGTGAAGTGCAGAAAGTCACAATGGCATGGTTTTTCGAATAGGCAGTTCTTCCGTAGTAAAATCTAAGTCTCCCACTTCTCCTGAAGTACACACTCCTCCTCAAATTACTGCTCTGATCATACTTTCTGGCACCAGTTTAAAACAGTACGGAAAACTACTGGTCTACAAATGAAACAAGTATTCCAGTGAGCTGATACTCTACCCTTACAGGAGGAACTTTTACACTGCAGTTCTCCTAAATTAGGGCTATTTTTTCCTACAAACCTTACAGCCATACCTGAAACAGCCACACTGCATGCAACATGCATTTCAGACACCACAAACAGTTTGCTAGGGGAAAGAGCAGAAT